TTGGGAACTCTTCCTTCAGATTTCTTTTTTCTTACAGATGGGGTTGCTCTGTCATCCAGACTGTATAGTTCGGGGACTTGGTCGTAACTCACTGCAGCCTCTATCTCCAGGGCTCAAGACCTCCTCCTGCTTCACAGAGCACATAGCTGAGTTCCTTTCCAGCAAATGCCCACATCAGAAGTAAATGGCCTTCCCTGGAGCAGTCTAAAGATCAGCCAATGTAAGAATACACAGGCCCAGCTCTCTGTCTCCAATGAGGACAATTTTGAAGTCTTCCGAGATTTCATCCTCTGCTAAGATACCAGAGGCCCCGTTCACAAAGACCTCAAAGTTCTCAGTCACCCTCTGTCCAATCCTGCTTCTCTCACCTCCTTACAGGGTTATTCCCTTACTACCTAAAAAATTATCCTTCATGCAAATCTCAATTTCAGGAATTGGTGCCATTTAAAAGCTCTCCAGATAACTGCTGTCTATCAAACATGGAAGACCACTAATTTAATGTCTGCATCATACAATATTGTTTCTAACATTGAACAGTAGTGTGCCAGAAATGGAAGTGTAACATTTCCAATCTCAGTTTGCTCATCTGTCAGATTGGAATAACTCCCTTACAGAGTATTTGCTATAAGACATACATAATGTGATAATATAACATCTACAACGTTGTGAATCCTCAATAAATATTGGTTGTATTATTTTTATGGGAAATCAGAAAGAGTGAAGGTTACAGTACCATGTGACTGGGACTATTTTAGATGTCCTCTAATGAAATCTTCAGACAAGTAACAGTACTAATAATAACAGCACTGAAAGGTGGGAGTTATATTGGAAGGCACACAGCTATTAACATTTTTCATTTTCCTATTCAAACACCTTTTAACAAGGGTCATGGTACTCTTACTCTACATAAAACAAGCAGTCGCCACAAGAAGCTGTTGAATTATCCAAAGAAAAAGAATTTCTTTATCTTAAGTAGGATTGATGCGGCAGGACACTGTCAGGACTAAGGCATCATTATCCACTGTGTCACTCCATCATCCAAATTAGTTTGCAGGCTTTAAAGTGCCTAATTCAGAATTTCCCCCCTATAGAGGTTTGAAAAATGACCACCCAATGCTATAATCAGAGAAAAGCTGAAATATCAGAACTGGACTATTTGCATAATGTTTGTCTTTAGTTTAAAAAGGAAATCAGGTAAAGCAACTAATTTTCATACTGCCTCCAAGTTTCCTTTACTGGTATCACTCAGTATCTCAGACCTTTGTGATGCAAAATAAGATTGCAGTTAATGCTTTTGTAACTTTTAGAAGTTTTGAAAATATTTCAGATTGACAAGAAATGAAGGTTCTTACTCATAACACCTTATTGCATAAATATCTGCTATTTGTCACATTTGTCTCTGATTATTTTAAGCTATAAAACGTGACTGGGTGTTTTGAAGCCCTCTGTGTTCCTCACTATAATTTCATTTTTCATTCTCTCTCCCCAGAGGTAATGCCTACCCTAGATTCGTATTTATCATTCAGTAAATACTTCTACAATTTTAATAACATGTTGGTAACCATTAACAAAATATATTTTTAATATAACTAATATTATATTCCAACATGTTTTGTTCTGGATAAATATCAATCTTCTAAGATGTATCTGAATTAATATGCTTAAATTTAATTCATTCTATTATGTTAATTACAGTTTTAGCATAATGTTACAATATTCCATTATATGATAGAAAACAGTGTATTCATCCAGACTCTTGTCTTTGTGGCCCAGTTTATTTCTAATTGTTCTCTTTCACAAATATCCATTGTGCCTTGTATGAGGGCTTCTCTGTGGTATGTACAAGAAGTGGCATGGCTAGGTCCCAGGGTCACAAGCATTTTCAGTTTAACTCAGTCTTTATAATTTGCTCTTGACAATAGTTTAATCATGCTGACATTCTCTCAAGCACTGTGTCAGAATTCCCAATTCCCTGTAATCTGATCCTCACTTAGTAATACAGATTTTTAATCTTTCTCTATCTGATGGTTACAAAATTGTACCTTCTTGTGTAAATTCTCAATTTTCTAATTATAGTGAGGGCAAGCATGTCTATTGGCTTTTAAAATCTTCTCTTCTGCTACTTGTCAGTTCATAGTTAATGAAGATTTGCTATTGGGTTATTTTTCTATGTCAAATTAATATTAGGTATATATATTTTTTGGATAATAAAATTGTCCAACTATTTCTTAAAGTAACATTTGAATCTATTTAAATTTAATAAAAATCTGGAACAATTTACTTCTGCTAGTTCAACTCTTTTCTGATTAGTGTTGGGGTCATTTCTAAAATCTTTCGGGAGAAAAACTCTGAATTAAGCTCTTTAACAAAGATGAAAGCTCAAATATCTCAGTAGAGAAGTCGGGCTGGGAGGCAGGGTATGTACTTTAATTTCCTACTGCAAGGTAGAAATGTGTTTTTAATTAAAAAAAATTATTTTTAATTTTTCCACGGGTTATTGGGGTACAGGTGGTGTTTGATTACAGGAGTAAGTCCTTTAGTGGTGGTTTGTGAGGTTTCGGTGCACTCATCACCCAAGCAGTATAAACTGCACCTATTTGGAGAGTCTTTTATATCTCATTCCCCTCCCACCCTTCCCCACAAGTCTCTGAAGTCCATTGTATCATTGTTTTTTGTTTTTTTGAGACGGAGTTTCGCTCTTGTTACCCAGGCTGGAGTGCAATGGCGCGATCTCGGCTCACCGCAACCTAAGCCTCCTGGGTTCAGGCAATTCTCCTGCCTCAGCCTCCTGAGTAGCTGGGATTACAGGCACGCGCCACCGTGCCCAGCTAATTTTTTGTATTTTCAGTAGAGACGGGGTTTCACCATGTTGACCAGGATGATCTCGATCTTTTGACCTCGTGATCCACCAGCCTCGGCCTCCCAAAGTGCTGGGATTACAGGCTTGAGCTACCGCGCCCAGTCCATTGTATCATTCTTACGCCTTTGCATCCTCATAGCTTAGCTCCCACATATCAGTGAGAACATACAATATTTGGTTTTCCATTCCTGAGTTACCTCACTTAGAATAATAGTTTCCAGTATCATCCAAGTCACTGCAAATGCCATTAATTCATAGCTGAGTAGTATTCCATCATATACGTATACACACACACACACACACACATCACGGTTTCTTTATCCACTCATTGATTGATGGACATTTGGGTTTGTGTGATGATTTTGCAATTACGAACTGTGCTGCTGTAAACATGTGTGTGCAAGTATCTTTTTTGTATAATGACTCGTTTTCCTTTGGGTAGATAACCAGTAGTGGGATTACTAATCAAATGGTAGTTCTACTTTTAGTTTTTTAAAGAATCTCCACACTGCTTTCCATAACTAGTCTACGTTGCTACCAGCAGTGTAGTAGTGTTCCCTGATCACTGCATCCACATCACCATCTACTGTTTCTCGATTTCTTAAATTATGGCCATTCTTGCAGCAGTCAGGTGGTAATGCATTGCAGTTTTGATTTGCATTTCCCTGGTCATTCGTGATGTTGAGCATTTTTTCATGTTTGTGGGCTACTTGTACATCTTCTTTTGAGAATTGTCTATTCATGTCCTTAGCCCACTTTTTGATGCGATATTTTTTCTTGCGAATTTGTTTGAGTTCATTGTAGATTCTGAGTATCAGTCCTTAGTCAGATGTATAGATTGTAAAGATTTTCTCCAGCTCTGTGGGTTGTCTGTGTACTCTGCTGACTGTTCCTTTTGCTGTGCAAAAGCTCTTTAGTTAAGTCCTGGCTATTTATCTTTGTTTTCATTGCATTTGCTTTTGGGTTCTTTGACTATTTCTTCCTTCACTTCTTGTATCATTTTTTTGGAATTCCTTTCATTGGGCTTCACCTTTCTCTGTTGCCTCCCTGATTGGCTTAATTACTAGCCTCCTGAATTCTTTTTCAGGTAAATCAGGGATTTCATCTTGGTTTGGATTAATTGCTGGTGAGCTAGCATGATTTTTCTGGGGGTGTTAAAGAGCCTTGTTTTGTCATATTACCAGAGTTGGTTTTCTGGTTCCTTCTTATTTGGGTAGGCTCTGTCAGAGAGAAGGTCTAGGAATGAAGGGTGTTGTTCAGATTCTTTTGTACCACAGGGTATTCCTTTGATGTAGTACTGTTCCCCTTTTCCCATGAATGTGACTTCCTCAGAACCAAGCTGTAGAGATTGTTATCTGTCTTCTGGGTCTAGCCACCCAGCAAGTCTAGTGTACCAGGCTCTGGGCTGGTACTGGGGGTTGTCTGCACAGAGTCCTGTGATGTGAACCATCTATGTATCTCTTAGCTGTGGATACCAGGACCTGTTCTGATGGAGGAGGAAAAGAACTCTGTAAGAATTCTTAGCTTTGGTGGTTTAATGCTTTGTTTTTGTGCCGGTTTGCCTCCTGCCAGGAAGTGGCACTTTCCAGAGAGCATCAGCTGTGGTAGTATGGAGAGAAACCAACCAGTGGGCGAGACTCTAGAACTTCCAAGACCCTTTGCCTTCAGCTACCAGGGAGGGTAGGAAAGAAACATCAGGCAGGGGCAGGGATAGGTGTGTCTGAACTCACACTCTCCTTGAGAGAGTCTTGCTGCAGCTGCTGTGGGGGGTGGGAGTGAGGGTCCCAGGTGAATGGAATTGTGTACCTAGGAGGATTATGGTTGCCTCTGCTGAGTCATGCAGACTTTCAGGGAAGTCAGGGAAAGCTGGCATTCACGGGCCTCACCTAGCTCTCATGCAATCCAAATGGCCGGTCTCACTCTCACTATGCCCATGTCAATAGCACTGAGTCTGTTTCCAGGCAGTGGGCAAGCAGGGGTGAGAACTTGCCCCAGCTGTGAAAGAAAGGGGCTTTTGTTCTTCCCCCACCTGTGGAGTCTACACACTGGATTTGTGCCCTCCCCCGCGTTCTGGCCAGGAGGCTTCTCCACCTGTTCAAATTGTTATAACGTTCAGCTGAAGATTTTCTTCTCTCTGCAGCTTTTCCTCATCCTCTAGCCGCCCTCCCAGAGGATCCTGGGAGGCGAGGCAGGAACGGCCTGCTTGGGGAGCCAGCGAGTTTGCAGGGCCTTTTCTGCTGCTTCCTGTACCCCGGTATTTCACTCGGCTCTCTAAATGGACTCAGCTCCAGGTGAGTTCAGAATCTTCTGCAAACTAGGCCTTCAGTTTCTGCAGTTGGGGTGTGTGTTCGGGGGCAGAGGATCTCCCTTTCCCACTTCCCCAGTTTGGGCACTGGCAGTATTTGGGGTGTCTCCTGGGCCCTGCAGGAGCAGTCTGCTTCCTTCAGAGAGTACTCTCAGGATTCCTGATTTATTCCTGTAGTCATTCTGGAGCTAAAACTCGTGATGTGAACCTCCACACACTGCTCTGTCTGTCCAAGTTGGAGCCGCAGTCCAGTCCTGCCTCCCATCAGCCATGATGAGCTCCTTTAATTTTTTTCTAATATGAATAACCAGTTTTGCTAGAACTATTTTATAAAAAGCCCGTCATATCCTGCTGGTATGTAATACTAAATCTGTTATATATCAATTATCCATGGATTTGAGGGTCTGTTTTTCACCCAATTCTGTTTTCTTAAATTTATTGTTAATGTCAATATCTTTAAATTATCTTGAATTACAGTAAGTCTTAACTTACTGTAGGACATATCCTTCCACCCTATTTTTTTTTTTAAATCTTGGATATTTTCCATTCTTATCTTCTGTATTAATTTTATAAGTTGTTTATATTCTCAGGAGAAATTCAAAAGTAAAACCAATTTGCCAGTGATTGAAAGACATGATTTTTATTTTAAATTAGAAGCAATAGGCATTTTTATACCACTGAGTATTTTATCATAAATATTTTTCTCTTTTATCTACCTAGAGTACTTTTTTGTTCACTTATTTCTATATACTGAGAACTTTTGTTGCTATTTTATATTGATTTTTCTATGGTATTCATTAGAGCAATGTTGGAGCTTTTGCTATTTCCATATTAACTGTGTTCTGAATTCTATTTTTAGTAAAATAAAAATTCTCTTCTGTTCTACATTCTTTGTTTTTAGATCTGTACTAGCTAAAACTTAGAAAAATAAATGGAATAGAAATGGTGACAAGTATCTTTGTCTTATTTTTGGCTTAGCTTTAAAGAACTTCCAGCATTTCACTATTAAATATTACATGTACCGCAGATTTTTGGCAAATACCCTCTAGCAAACTAAAAAAGTTTCCTTTTATTCCCAGTTAGCTAGATGGACTTCATATTTTGCTTTATTTTAATTATATATCGATACTGAATTTTTCAAAAAAATTTTTTGGAATCCATATAATCATAAATTTTGTTTTTTAAATGTTAATGTGATACGTTAATGTAGTATGCTACTTTAATAGACTTGTACTGGAAAATATATAGAAGTATAAAGAAACAGAGAAATACTTGGTCATATGTCTGACACCTGCAAAATTTTATCATCAAATCTGGTTCCCCAAAAGATGGGCTTTTTCCCTGTTTGGTGTCACAAAGCCAATAGACAACGCAGAAAGGGAACATCAACCAGTGAGGACTTGATTCCACCACTATGGAACTGAAAGGCAGGAGCCTGCCTCACAAATCAACTTCTCGAAAGTGAGGAGTCAGGGGACCAAAATATAGATTCTCTCTGATGAAGGGATCAGCCATTAAAAATGAGGGCAGGTATATTCATGTCTTTTCCAGAAATGACTGGTGCACTGGAGTGCCACCTTCCTTTTGTCCTTTAAGTCTTCTTCTGGTCATTGTCATGGTGATTGTCAACTGTCATGGCATTAGTGGGAGTGTCATTTAACATGGAAAAGAGATTATAATGAAACCTGAGCTATTTTTGAAGTTGTCCTTTCATTAGCTATCATGATTCTAACCAGTTTCAGGTGGTCTGATTACCAATAGAACTCTTTATCACAGGCGTCTTCCTTTCTTCCTTCTTTCCCTTCCCTCTCCCTCCCTCCATGTCTCCCTCCCCTTCCCCTCCCCCCTCCCCCTTCCCCTCCCCCTCCCCCTTCTCCTCCCCCTCCTCCTCCCTCTCTCCTTCCCCTCCCCCCCCTTCTCTTTCTCTCTTTCTTTATGGAGTTTCACTCTTGTTGCCCAGGCTGGAGTGTAATGGCACAATCTTGGCTCACCACAACCTCTGCCTCCTGGGTTCAAGCAATTCTCCTGTCTCAGCCTCCTGAGTAGCTGGGATAACAGGCATGCACCATTATGCCCAGGTACCTTTTTTTTTTTTTTTTTTGTAGAGAGGGAATTTCTCCATGTTGGTCAGGCTGGTCTCAAACTCCCCACCTCAGGTGATCCGTCTGCGTTGCCTCTCAAAGTACTGGGATTACAGGCACGAACCACTTTATCTGGTTCCTATTTCTTAAAGATATGCAGTTAGCATGGGGTAGAATTCAGCTAGGTCACATAGACATCACACCGGGTAGCAGGAGGGGGATCTTCGGGAAATAGACATAGAAATAAAATTCCTGGACAAAAGGTATGAGTATCTATGGAGTTACTATTTAATGCAAAATTGCTCTTCCAATTGTTTCATCATCCCCAACCCCCGAACCCCTCCCCACTCCAGTCCCCAATCAGTATATGAGAATTGCCATGTTTCCATATCTCCTCTAATACTTCATCTTCTGAGACATTTTGATTGTTGCCCATTGTATTTGTGTGAACTAATATCTGCTTGTTGGATACTTTTACATTCTTCTGATCTTCACTTAGATTATTCATTTTTGTATGGTTATTGGAATTAAAATTATATTAATGAAGAATTGTTATATTTCTAAAATAAAATCTACATATTTTATGATAGATTTTACTTAGACTGTTTGGATGCAATTGACCAATATTTAATTTTAAGATTTTTATATCTCTATGTACTATTAAACTATAAATTTTCTTTTCATATGCCGTCTTTGGTCAAATTTTGGGATTTAAAGTTACCATAGCATTAATAAAAAGTTCTGAAAAATTCCTTTTTCTATTTTATGAAATAATTTATACATGGAAATTTGTAAACAAATTTTCGTAAGCTCTTCAGTAATACTATTTGGATGTGGTAACGTTTTGTGGGTGTATTGTGGCTATTGATTCAAGTTTCATAAATGAATATAAGCTTATTTGCATTTTCAATTTCTTCTTAGGAAACTTCTATAAATTAATACTTTCTTAGAAACTTAATAATTTTATCCAAGTTTTCACATCTGTTGGCATAAAATTAGTCATGGTAATCTCTCATATGTTTAAATATTTTCTATTAGCTGTACTGCTTCTACCGTCCTCATTATCTTCATTGTTTTTATCTGTGTATAGATTAGTCATATCAGATTTTTCAGAACTAAGATATTAGTTATGTTGATTTTTTTTCTATGTTCTTCTGTTTTATATCTCATTAAAATTTGCTCTTATTTATTACTTTCTTCCTTTTACTCTCTTTCAATTTATTCTGTGTATTAGTTTGTTTTCTTGTTGCTGATAAAATCATACCCAAGACTGGGTAATTTATACAGGAAAAAGGTTTATAGGACTTATACTTCCATATGGCAGGGAGGCCTCACAATCATGGTGCAAGGCAAGGAGGAGCAATGCATGTCTTACTCAGAGGTCAGCAGACAAAAAGAGCTTGTGAAGGGAAACTCCCCATTATAAAACCATCAGCTCTTGTGAGGCTTATTCACTATCATGAGAACAGCACAGGAAGGACCTGCCCCCACAATCTGATGGCCTGCCACAGGGTCACTTCCACAACACATGGGAATTCAAGATGAGATTTGGGTAGGGACAGAGCCAAACCATATTATACGGTAATTCTTTTTTATTTTTTGAGTTAAAATGAGTTCATTAATTTTAATTATTTTCTTCTCTAACATATGCATTGGAGGATATAAATGCAGATCTATCTAATTTAAACTGCATCTCATAATTTTTAACAGCTTTATGAAGATATAATTAACATACAATAAATTGCAATATTAATGTGTAAATATTACATATTAAGTATTGTGAAATGATCATTCCTGTCCCCAGTTTCCAGCAATCAGTCATCTGCTTTCTGTCACTATACATCAGTTTATAGTTCCTGGAATTTTATAGACGTGGAATTGTACAGTGTGTCTCCCTTTTTTGTCTGGCTTTGTTCACTCAGAAGAATCTTTTCGAGTCATTCATGTTGTTGTGTAGATCAGTGGTTCATTTCTTTTTGTTGCAGAGTAACATTTCATTAGAGGGATATGTAATAATTTTTTAAACCATAAACCTATTGATGAACATTTGGACTACTTACAATTTTAGACTATTATTAATAGTGCTGCTGTCAACATTTGTGTACAAGTTTTTCTATGGACATACAGTGCCATTTCTCTTGAGTAAACATCTAGGAGTGAAATGGCTAAATCACGTCAAAGGCATACTTTTAACTTTTTATAAACTTGTACAATTGCTTTTCCAACTAGCTTTATTAACAATTTGCATTTTGACCACCAGTGTGTGAGAGTTCCAGTTCTTCCACATTCTTGCCAACACTTTATTTCAACATTTTAAATATAGCTATTTTCATAGATGTCTTATAATATCTCATAAGAATGAAATTTGCATTTCACTAATGAATAATGTTCAGCATCTTTTTAACCATCTGTCTAGCTTGTTTGGTGAAGTGTGTGTGTTCAAATGTTTTGTCTACTTTTTATTAGTTTTTTTTTTTCTTATTCTTGAGCATTGGGAGTTTTCATGTATTGTGGATATAAATCTTTTATCAGATATTTGCTTTCTAAATCTTTTCTCCCATTATGTGACTTATCCTTTCTTCTTTACATTGTATTTAGAAAACCATGTTTCAAATTTTGATAATATCTAATTTACTGATTTTTTTTTTTTTTTTTTTTTTTGAGACAGAGTTTCGCTCTTGTTACCCAGGCTGGAGTGCAATGGCGTGAATCTCAGCTCACTGCAACCTCCGCCTCCTGGGTTCAGGCAATTCTCCTGCCTCAGCCTCCCGAGTAGCTGGGATTACAGGCACGCGCCACCATGCCCAGCTAATTTTTTGTATTTTTAGTAGAGACGGGGTTTCACCATGTTGACCAGGATGGTCTCAATCTTTTGACCTTGTGATCCACCCACCTCAGCCTCCCAAAGTGCTGGGATTACAGGCTTGAGCCACTGCGCCCGGCCTGATATTTTTATTTTATGGATCCTGCTTTTGGTGTTATAGCTAAGAAGTCTTTGCATAATACAAAACTACAAAGCTTTTCTTCTTCACTTCCAGAATTTTATAGATTCAGGTTTTATATTTAGTAATATATCAAAAATATATTACGTATTATAAAGATATACTATATAATGCATCATACATTATGAAATGTATGGCACAATAAAAAGAGAATGTGTAATATATTTAAATAGTGTAAAGAATTAACAAAAACACCCAAATGCCCATAAACCAGTGTCTAAAGGAGAACGTTATGATGTGTATTCCTCTCTGATCTTAGCTCTCTGCACACATCACTAGATGACATTCTTTCTTGTTTTTTAATGCTTATGTCTCTAAGCAACATATTGCCCTTATTGTTGCCTCTCCTTATCATTTGTAAAAATATAATCAAATCATGTCTATAATCCCAGCACTTTGAGAGGCCGAGGTGGGTGGATCACGAGGTCAAGAGATCGAGACCATCCTGGTCAACAAGGTGAAACACCATCTCTACTAAAAATACAAAAATTAGCTGGGCATGGTGGTGCACACCTGTAGTCCCAGATACTTGGGAGGCTGAGGCAGGAGAATTGCCTGAACCTAAGAGGCGGAGGTTGTGGTGAGCCGAGATCGTGCCATTGCACTCCCGCCTGGGTAACAAGAACGAAACTCTGGGTAAAAAAAAAAAAAAAAATATATATATATATATATATATATATATATATGTAATCAAACTGTTTGCATTCCTGACTTGCTTCTCTTGTTTAATATTGTATTTTGGATATTCATCCAAGGTGGTTGTAGAATACTGATTTTTATGGCTATTATCTTACTGTGTATGTTTACTGTGTATTTGTCCAGTCTACCATTGCTGACTTTTGATATTTTAAGGCTTTTATTTTATACAGTGTTGCAATAAATATTTCATGCTATATTCTCTTGAACATTATATGCTAATATCTTTTTAATTTTTATGTCATTTTATACACACATATATGCACACACACATATACACTACATATATATTCAACTGCATTAGATAATGCTAAATAGTTTCCAAAATACTTATAACAAATTACTCTCCCATCAGCAATTCATGAGACTTCCACTCTTTTAAGCATACTACCATCAGTTGGTATTTTAGGGCCTTTTCATTTTTAGCTATCTGGCTGGTGTGTAATTGTATCTTATTGTGAATTTAATTTCATTTGCCTGATGATTAATAAAATTATACATCTTCTAAAATGTTTATCAGACACTTGTATTTCCATTATTTTTCCAGATATAGGCACGCTTCAGAGATTGCAGAGTTAATTGCAGACCACTGCAATAAAGTAAGTATCACCATCAACCAAATCACACAAATTTTTGGGTTTCTTAGAAAATATAAAAGTTATATTTATACTATACTGTAGTTCATGAAGTGTGCTATAACATTGTGTCTTTAAAACAAAAAAATAATTTAAAAATGCTTCCTTGCTAAAAAAATGCTAACAATCATCTTAGCTTTTGGCGAGATGAATCTTTTTCTGGTGGAAGGCTTTGCCTTGATGTTAATGACTGAACAATGGTAAGGGTCGTGGTGGTGGCTGAAGGTTGGAGAGCATGTGGCAATTTCTTAAAATAAGACTGTAAGGTCTATTACCGAGTTAAAATGAGGAAACTGAGGCCAGTGTGAGAAAATGAAAAGCCAATTTATTCAGCTCCGAGGCAAAGTTCTCTGGTCTGCGAAAGGGCCAGAGAAGTCGCCCTTGACTTCTCAGGGCGTGGGGTTTTATGGGGAGTGGAGGCGATTGATTGGTTATTGGGGAAACAAAGCATAGGCGATTTAATTGGTTATAGGGAGACAGGGCGTGGCTGTGGTGAGCTGCCATTGGTAGGTAGGTGGGACTACTGGTGGGTGGGCTGGCTGGGGATGTGATTGGTTATTGGGGAAACAAAGCATAGGCGATTTCATTGGTTATAGGGAGACAGGGCATCTATGTGGTGAGTTGCCATTGGTAGGTGGGCAGGACTACTGGTAGGTGGGCTGGCTAGGGAAGTGATTGGTTACTGGGGAAACAAAGCGTAGCAAGTTTTGGCGAGGTGTTTTTGGCCTTGGGCTGGGGGGTTGAGCGCTTAGTTTGGTGCTGAATGTAGATCTGGGTGCAATAGCAGAGGTAAGTGTGGAGAATTCACGTGGAGAAGCCAGATGCTGAGTAATGTGCTCAGAATAATAACGCAGTTATCATGCACAAGCGGGGATGGGCGTGTCCGTCTAACTCCGGGTGAGGCAACTGGCCTTACAAAGACAACAACGGAATTTGCAGTACTCATTCATTCATTCTTTTCCATGAAAGATTTTTCTGTAGCATGAGACGCTGTTTGGTAGCATTTTACCCACAGTAGAACTTCATTCAAAATCGGAGTCATTCTTCTCGAACCCTGCTGCTACTCTGTAAACTAAATCTATGTAGCATTCCATATCCGTGGTTGTCGTTTCAATAATGTTTACAGCATCTTCACCAGGAGTAGATTCCAGCACTAGAAACCACTTTCTTTGCTCACCTGTAAGAAGCAACTCTGCATTCATTCAAGTTTTAGAGTTTTATCTTTAATGTCTTAATCAAACATCTCTTCTTTAATGAAAATTACTGTTTTTTTGTTTGTTTGTGTTTGTTTTGCATGAAGGCACTAGGTGTAAATCACTCATTTATTTGAATGGAAAAGAAAGGAATTGCAGTCATTCCTTCAATGAGGACTACTTGCTTCATTATATATTATTTTCACCCTGCCACTGTCTCTATTTATTATAGATACATGATTTTTTTGTTTCAATATGAAATCATAGTGAATTTTTTAAAATATATTTTAAGTGTCAAGCATGTATGCATCTATGACCAACTTGACCCAAGTAGAGGAAATGACATGTGGTGATGCTGTCTGGCCAGCAGCTTTTGTGAAGCACCCTAGATTGTGTGAAGTACTACAGTCTTTCAGATGTTAACATGCAAAAAATATGCATATCTCAGTACATTGTGACCAAGTGTCACAGTTTTCTCAGGACTGATGAGGTTCTCAGAACACAGGACTTTCAACAAAACTAGGAAGATCTATGTACAGATAGATGCAGATATATGACTCTACCTTAAATATATACATTTTTGTCACTTATACCTCAATGAAGCTGAAAATATGTTGCGGTAATTTTTTTTTAACAATTAATGATTTTAGTAAACTTTCACCAATAGCTGATAGAACATAGACATTTTTCTTTCTTTCTTTTTAATTGTTCTTTAGGTTCTGGGGTACATGTGCAGATCATGCAGGATTGTTGCATAGGTACACACATGGCAATATGGTTTGCTGCCTCCATCCCCATCACCTACATCTGGCATTTCTCCCCATGTTATCCCTCCCCGACCTCCCCATCCCCCCACTGTCCCTCCCTTACCCACCCCAACAGACCCCAGCGTGTGATGCTCCCCTCCCTGTGTCCACGTGTTCTCATTGTTCAACACCCGCCTATGAGTGAGAACATGCCATGTTTGATTTTCTGTTCTTGTGTTAGTTTGCTGAGAATTATGGTTTCCAGATTCATCCACATACCTAAAAAGGACACAAACTCATTTTTATGGCTGCATAGTATTCTGTGGTATACATGTGCCACATTTTCCTTGTCCAGTCTACCATCAGTGGGAATTTGGGTTGGTTCCAGGTCTTTGTTATTGTAAACAGTGCCACTATGAATATATGTGTGCATGTGTCTTTATAATAGAATGATTTATAATCCTTTGGGTTTATACCCAGTAATGGGATTGCTGGGTCAAATGGAATTTCTATTTCTAGGTCCTTGAGAAAGCTCTACACTGTCTTCCACAATGGTTGAACTAGTTTACACTCCCACCAACGTGTAAAAGTGTTCCTATTTCTCCATATCCTCTCCAGCATCTGTTGTCACCAGATATTTTAATGATCACCATTCTAACTGGTGTGAGGTGGTATCTCAATGTGGTTTTGATTTGCATTTCTCTAATAATCAGTGATGATAAGCATTTTTCATATGTTTGTTGGCCTCATGTATGTCTTCTTTTGAAAAGTGTCTGTTCATATCCTTCCACTTTTGGATGGGTTTGTTTTTTTCTTGTAAATCTGTTTTAGCTCTTTGTGATTCTAGATATTAGCCCTGTGTCAGATGGGTAGATGGCAAAATTTTTTTCCCATTCTGTTGGTTGCCAGTTCACTGTAATGATTGTTTCTTTTGTGTATGTACAGAAGCTCTGGAGTTTAATTATGTCCCATTTGTCTATTTTGGTTTTTGTTGCCAATGCTTTTGGTGTTTTGGTCATGAAGTCCTTGCCTACTCCTATGTCCTGAATGGTATTGCCTAGGTTTTCTTCTATGGTTTTTATGGTGTTAGGTCTTATGTTTAAGTCTTTAATCCATCTGGAGTTAATTTTAGTGTAAAGTGTCAGGAAGGGGTCCAGTATCTGCTTTCTGCACACTGCTAGCAAGTTTTCTCAACACCATTTATTAAACAGGGAATCCTTTCCCCACTGCTTGTTGTAGGTGTGTGGCCTTGCCTCCAGGGCTTCTGTTTTTTTATTATACCCCCATACCCCTATGTACTTCGTACATTATTGTTATGGCTCCTGCAAATGCAAAGACTGCAAAATTCCCCTTAGAGATATTCTTCTCTAAGCTGTTTATTCTAGTTAGCATCTCATCTAATCATTTTTCTAGGTTCTTAATTTCTTTGCATTGGGTTAGCACATGTTGTTTTAGCTCTGAGAGGTTTGTTATTACCCACCTTCTGCAGCCTGTTTTTGTCAATTCATCAGATTCATTCTCCATCCGTCTTTGATCCCTAGCTGGTGAGGAGTTTTGATCCTTTTGAGAAGGAGAGGCGTTATGGTTTTTGGCGTTTTCTTCCTTTTTGTGCTGGTCTCTTCCCATCTTAGTGGCTTTATCTACCTGTCATCTTTGTAGTTGGTGACTTTCAGATGGGGTCCCTAAGTGGATGTCCTTCTTATTGTTGATGACGTTATTTCTTTCTGTTTCTTAGTTTTCCTTCTAACTGTCAGGCCCCTCTGCTGCCAGACTGCTAGAGGTTCAGTCCAGACTCTCTTGCCTGGGGATCACCCGCGGGGTCTGTAGAACAGTAAGGGTTGCTGCTGGTTTCTTCTTCTGTTATCTTTGTTCCAGAAGGGTATCTGCCAGATGTCAGCCTGAGCTCTTCTTGGGGAGGTGTCTCTTTGGGTATACGGGGATTGGAGACCTGCTTAAGGAGACAGTCTGTCCCTTATAGGAGCTCAAGTGCTATGCTGGGCGCTCCATTGTTTCATGCAGAGCTGCTAGGCAGGTACTTTTAAGTCTGCTGAAGTGGAATTCATAACTGCCTCTTTTTCCAGGTGCTCTGTTCTAGGAAGGTTGGCTTTATTTATAAGTTCCTGTCATCCTGCTGCCTTTTTTCATAGGTGCTCTGCCCTGCATGGAGTAGACTAGTCACAGTCTGCCAGCAGAGGTGTTGCTGAGCTGCCACAGGCTTGGCCCAGCTTCTGTGTCAACTGCCTTGGTAGTGGTGGTCACCCTTTCCCCCACTGAGCTGGACTGTCCTGGGTCCAGCTGCGCTTCCTGTGAAACTCTCAATCCAGAGTGTTTCAGATTGCTTGTTTTGTGGGGGTGATACCTGCCGTGCAAGATCACCTGGCTCCCTGTCTCTGACATCTCCGTTTTAGTTGAATAGGTAGCTCTATCTCCCCAGCATTCCAGGCGCCAGTTGAAATGGCCACCATATTTGTGTGAATTTCTGTGCACCATCCCGGCACCATCTGAAACTGCCGTGCTGAAAACTCATGGCGCTTTTCCCGGGAATCTCCCGGTCTGTAGGCAGTGAAAATTTGTTTGGAAATGTGGTGGGCACTCACACTCTGCATTGTTCTTGCTAAGAACTGCACCCTGGAGCTGTTCCTATTCAGCCATCTTCTGTGGTAATTTCAGTAGCGATTGTTTTCCACTTCTATAAGTTTGATCTATTTTTTCTTTTTTTCCAAATCGGCCTTTTTTTTATGTTGTTACTATGGGTTACTTTCTTTCTTTTTAATATTAATTTCTTGGTTTAGGGTCTCTGCACAACATGAGTTTGTAAATCTACACCCTTCACCTGCATGTCACAAAGATTAGGAGTTTTGATTTCTTGTGGGAAATTATGCTTCTCCCTCAAACACTCCCCTCCAGAGCTGAGGCAGAAGACAAATAGAGTTACAGATAGGCAGAGTTCTCTAGTCTGTTTTCACTAACACGGGGTCCTTTTGGCAGTCTAGGCTTAACATAGGGTTCTCTGTTTCCACTCACT